TAAGCGGTCTCTGCAAGCTCGCTCCAAGAGAACACTAGCAGAGCTCTTGAAGAATACCGCTTCATCTTCTCAGACCACACCAAAAAACAGTAACACGTTCTCCATTTTGCCAGTTGATGATCTAGACTCTGACTCAGAGGGCGGTGAGGGTAGTCCGTTTGTCTTTAAAGGCAATACGAGAAAACGAGCAAAACAACACACCACCGAAAAGCCTCGTAAGGCCACTCGTACGGACCACCCCTCCACCTTGGAAAATTTAAGAGGTAACGGAAATACACCGAAACCCATTCCACCGGGTTTTAAACCTTGTAATTATGACAAGAACTTTCCGTCACTTCCAGGATCATCTAAAACCCCAGATGTCCCAGTTTTTCGGCCAGAAAAGCAGCTGAATAATCAGCAAGAACATGCCCCCATGTTCACGTTTTCTGGTATTGTGGATAGCTTCTTCAGTATATTCAATGTCTCTGACTCAACGAGGAGCATTATTAATTTAGTGCTGCCAATGGTGAAAACTCTTTTGAAGCAACTAGCTTCTAGGTGGTCCTTCCTTGCATCGATCATATCTTTCGATGGATAATTCTCCGAATGAGGTCGGGGATATGATCTCTGTTCTTCAGTGGAACTGTAGAAGTCTTATGCCAAAACTTGACACATTTAAATTTTTAGTTAACAACTCACTTTCTGATGCATTTGCCCTTTGTGAAACATGGCTCTCTTCAGACAACGATCTTGCTTTCCACGATTTCAACATTATTCGCCTTGACCGCGCAGATTCGTATGGAGGGGTGCTTCTGGGGATCAACAAGCTCCATTCCTTCTACAGAATCGATCTGCCTTCGGTGACAGGCATTGAAGTTGTTGCATGTCAGGTTAATATTCGAGGTAAATGCCTCAGTATTGCCTCAGTATATCTTCCACCGCGAACTTCGATTTCTCGTCAAAGTTTCTCGGATATCTGCACGGCTATGCCGGAGCCACGGTTGATCTTGGGAGATTTTAACTCTCACGGTACAGGCTGGGGGGAACTGTACGACGACAACCGCTCAACCTTGATATACGACATGTGCGACTTCTTCAAAATGACAATTCTGAACACCGGGGAAGCAACACGAGTAGCCAAACCTCCAGCAAAAATAAGCAGATTAGACCTCTCACTTTGTTCGAGTTCACTATCGTTGGATTGCTCGTGGAAAGTAATTCAAGATCCCTATGGTAGTGACCATTTGCCAATCAAAATTTCTATTACCAATGGTTCATCTTCTACTCGTTCGGTCGACATCGCGTACGATCTTACAAAAAACATTGACTGGCGAAAATTCGCGACCGCGGTTCTTGATGCCAGCCAATCGGTTGACGTACTTCCTCCGCTGGACGAGTACTCCTTTCTCGCGCGTCTTATCATCGATTCTGCGCTGCGAGCACAGACGAAACGTGTTCCGGGTATTTCCGTCCGCAAGCGACCTCCCACCCCGTGGTGGGATAAGGATTGCACCGACGCGAACAGCGAGAAGTCCGCCGCGTTTAAACGGTTCCGCAAACACGGCAAGGTCGGGGATTTCGAGCGGTACACCGACCTCGAGAAAACTTTTAAGGACTTAATTAAAGCAAAAAAACGCGGTTACTGGCGTCGGTTCGTCGATGGTTTGTCGCGAGAGACTTCCATGAGAACACTCTGGAATGTCGGCAGGAGAATGCGAAACGCGTCATCACCGATTAACGAAGACAAGGAGTACTCGGACAGTTGGATATTCAGCTTCGCGCGGAAAGTTTGCCCGGATTCGGTGTCGGTTCAAACCAACGTTCGTGATCGTCCGTCGGGTAATAACGAAATAGATTCCCCGTTTTCGATGGTGGAATTCTCACTTGCTCTCCTTTCATGTAACAATTCAGCTCCAGGAATGGATAGAATCAAGTTCAACTTGCTTAAAAATCTCCCAGATGTCGCGAAGAGACGCTTGTTGAACTTATTCAATCAATTTCTGGAGCACAACATTGTTCCGGATGACTGGAGGCAAGTAAGAGTTATCGCCATTCGAAAACCCGGTAAACCCGCTTCGGATTATAACTCGTACCGTCCCATCGCGATGCTGTCCTGCGTACGGAAATTGTTGGAGAAAATGATTCTTTTTCGTCTAGACAAATGGGTCGAGTCGAATGGTTTACTTTCAGATACGCAATTTGGATTTCGGAGAGGCAAAGGAACGAGCGACTGTCTTGCGTTGCTTTCAACTGAAATTCAACTGGCCTATGCGCAAAAACAGCAAATGGGTTCAGTTTTCTTGGACATTAAGGGGGCTTTTGATTCTGTTTGTATCGATGTCCTTTCGGATAAACTCCACGATAGTGGGCTTTCACCAATTATGAACAACTATTTGAGCAACTTGTTGTCTGAGAAATATATGAGCTTTTCTCATGGAAACTCGACAACTTCACGAATTAGTTACATGGGTCTCCCCCAGGGTTCATGTTTAAGCCCCCTTCTTTATAATTTTTATGTAAAAGACATTGATGGTTGTCTTGATGAAAATTGCTCGCTAAGGCAGCTTGCAGATGACGGCGTTGTGTCCGTTATAGGGCCAAGTGCACCGGACCTGCAAGGACCATTGCAAGATACCTTAGACAATTTGTCTACTTGGGCTATGAAGCTGGGTATCGAATTCTCTCCGGAGAAAACTGAGTTGGTTGTTTTTTCTAGGAAGCATCATCCTGCACAGTTACAGCTTCAACTAAAGGGTAGAACAATCACTCAAAGTATATCTTTTAAGTATTTAGGTGTCTGGTTCGATTCCAAAAGCACATGGGGAAAACATATTGCGTTTGTGAAACAAAAATGCCAACAAAGAATCAATTTTCTTCGTACAATCACTGGAACTTGGTGGGGAGCACACCCGGAAGATCTGATCAGGTTGTACCGAACAACCATCTTGTCGGTTCTAGAGTACGGAAGCTTCTGCTTTCAATCCGCGGCGAAAACACATATCCTGAAGCTACAACGGGTTCAATACCGTTGCCTCCGAATCGCGCTTGGCTGTATGCACTCGACGCATACGATGAGCCTCGAAGTACTCGCGGGTGTTCTCCCACTGACAGATCGTTTCGCGGAACTGTCCTTCCGGTTTCTTATCCGTTGTGAAGTAATGAACCCATTAGTAATAGAAAACTTTGAGAAGCTGCTCGACAGAAATCCTCAAACAAGATTCATGAGTCTCTATTACGAGTACATGACGCTGGAGATTGGCCCTTCTTCACTCAATTCCTCTCGTGTTTGCCTCCAAGACTTTTATAGTTCCTCTGTAAATTTTGATCTGACCATGTTGCAAGAAATCCGTGGAATACCAGATCACCATCGATCGATGGTTGTTCCCTTAATTTTTGCAAACAAGTACCACCATGTTAGTAACAATAAGAGTTTTTTCACAGATGGGTCAACTATAAACGCTTCCACTGGATTTGGAGTATTCAACGAATTTCATAGCGCCTCATATCAACAGCAAAAACCCTGTTCCGTATACGTTGCGGAACTAGCAGCCATATTTTACGCAGTAGAGCAAATTGCCTCACTACCATCTGATCACTATTTTATTTTTACTGATAGCCTTAGCTCGTTGGAGGCTATTCGATCAATGAGGCCGATGAAGCACTCCTCGTATTTCCTGACCGAAATCCGAGCAAAATTGAGTACTTTATCTAACTGCTCCTATACTATCACCTTAGCTTGGGTCCCATCTCATTGCTCAATTCCGGGTAATGAGAAAGCGGACTCGCTAGCTAAGGTGGGCGCTATGGAAGGCGATATTTTTGATCGACAAATCGCCTTTGCGGAATTTTTCTCAATTACCCGTCAGCACGTCCTCACCAACTGGCAACAAAAATGGAATGAGAGTGATCTGGGAAGATGGTTACATTCTATTCTCCCACAGGTGTCGAACAAGCCATGGTTCAAAGGATTGGACATGAGCCGTGACTTTATACGTGTCATATCAAGGCTCATGTCCAATCACTACTCGTTAGACTCGCATTTCTTCCGAATCGGGCTCGCAGGCAGCAATTTGTGCGCTTGTGGTAGTGGCTATCACGATATCGACCACGTGCTTTGGTCATGCACCCTACATTGTGATGCTAGATCCGAGTTATCCGCATCCCTCAGGGCCCGAGGAAAACAACCTATGCCCGTTAGAGACATCTTGGCGAGCCGAGATCTCGAATATTTTAATTTAATTTATGTGTTTTTAAAACGGATCGATCTGAGGATTTAGTATTTAGTGTCATCTTGTGTTCCCCCAAGTTGTTAGCTGCCCACCGGTGTACCCCCATGTTTGTCTTTTTCGTCAGTTGGTCGCTTAGTTCGAGATAAAAAGCACATTGCTCTCCAAACCTTGTGTTCTCAATCCCTACCCTGCCATCCATTTGTTACAATTTGTTACCCCTAACCTCGAGATAGCCGCGAGTAATCGGCCCCCGCTTTACTAACGTTAGTTTTAAGAAATTTTGTCATCCAAACAATGAATATCGGCTCCGCAAAGCTACGGCAAATGAGCCTGGAAAAATAAACGCATTTAAAAAAAAAAAAAACTCTCACTTAAATAGGAAACTCCAAGAGCTCGGCTAACACCGTTGAAGCGCATACAATCTACTAAATATTTTTAAACTAATGTAAACAAGAGCTGTCAAAGTGAAGCTCCCAACTACTCAAATTCACAGTTTACCATGATTTATTTCCGTTGATCTAATGCATAGAACTAATATTCCACTCGTTTAACTAACCATTTCAACAGTGCAGAACGATACAATCAATCTTAGTGCTTCACAATACACGTCACCATATATGTTCTCTGGTGTGGATGGCATTTGCATAAATACTCGCCCGAAAGGAACCGAAAGTTGCAATTTACTTCCTGTAAGAAGGTTTTTGGCAGTTTCATATCATAAATTTCAATACTGAATTTCGACTAGGATTAATAGGAATATTGAATTTTAAATGTATATATGTAGGAACATTACTTTTTGCCCTTGGCGCGCCGTCCACCGCGGCGGCCACGCATTTTACGCTTCCGTTCGGCCACCGAACGCCAGGCACGTTGCAGCACAATGACCGCCCGTTTCATCATGAAATGGAAAATCACCTCCTCCTGAGCCCTCAGTTCGTCCAGGCGCCGTTCTTCGATGGCGTCGAAGTATCTGCAGAAAAGAAGATAATTTCAATGAAGTTTAGACCAAACAGTGTTCCGGTGGCACGGCAATACTTCTTCTCCTGTGGATCGAACACGATTCTCTTCCACTCATCGAATTCCTCCTGCCGATCACGCAGAGTACCGGCCAAAGCATTCAGTTCATGGGTCCTCTCTCCGGCATCCTTGTCGTACTTGTTAAGCAACAGTTGTAACTGCTGAGTCAGCTTCGCCTTCATCGTACGATTTGCCTTTTCGACCCGAAGATCTTCCTCCAGCGTTTTATGATACTCCTTTGTGCGGCTGTTGGCTTCCTCCTGAAGCTGCTCGTACCTCTGATCGCTTCGCTCAAAGTAGTAAAACATCTTCCGATCGGATTCGTTGCTGGAAAAAATATGAAATTGATATTAAAATTCAAGATTGTTTCACTGAAAACAGTACATAAAGGCAGTTATTTGAGTTTTGCTCTGATCCTCCAGACGTGCAATGTCGGAACGATACTTTTCGATGATGGCTGTCTTGTCCTCAATTTCTGCCTGAAAAGCGACCGCTTTCTCCTCCAGCACACGCTCGGTTATGGCAATTTCCTTAATGTTCCGCTCATTGGATTGCCACATCCGGTGCAGGATCTTCTCCTTGGCCAAATCCTTTTGGGCGGTCATTTTCATCTTGGTGATCGTGAACTTGCGGAACTCACGAATGTTGGATAGGAACTTTTTGTACACCGCCGGGAGCTGTAATTATATGGTTTAAATTAGGTTTAAAGATTGTTGAAAATTACTGTTAATGAACTTACATTCTTCACCTGGCTCGCAATAACCTTGTGAAGATCTTTGTTCGAGACCATCTCCACAAGTTCAATAAACTTTGTCGGAGGAAATTGGAAATCTGCCATCTAAAGATTTAAATTGCATGTTAAAAATTTAAATCCTTAGCAAAGCCGCAACCCACTAACGTTGACCACTTCCGGCACCGAACCACCATCATCACTTTTGGATTGCATATACTTGCACAGCAGCCGCAAGACGTCCTGTTCCTCGGCATTGAAGTGCTCCGCCAGGAGTTCCTGATTCCGGCAAATCAACGGCAAACTCAACAGCACCTCTAGCGTTTCGGACATTTCCTGCAGGATCACTGTGACCCGATTGATCTGAATGTTAAACTCGAGCTTCTGCAGACTTTCCGGGTCGTAGGAGTCGTACTCTTCCTCGCCATAGGCCATGATCTCCAGTCCGATCTTCTCGATCATGTTTTTCACCGTTTCGATGTCCTCCTCGGAATCACCGGCGAAGATTTCCACGATCGTGTCTGGCATTTCGCGCGCTCAGTCTTGAATGAAAATTATTGCCACAGGATGCATGTTTGACGATACCGGATCGATTTTACACAATTCCGTTACCACGTTGCCGGGCATTACGTCCCCTAACCCAATTGCGAACCAAAGAAAATGGATTGTGTTGTTTCCTCAGTAACGGTACTTCCGTGGTAGAAAATTAAAACAAACAAAATATGCTCTGTTGGGTGTCCGGACCCGAGACGGCTAATACATAGGTGTAACAGTCGGAAGAAGTGTTAGTTTGTTTACTTAAATGAACCATGCCCATTTTGTTATGGCATGTTTGCTATACGAAATGCGCCTCGTGTTTATTAGCGAATTTCACATCAAAGATTGATTAATTGAGTAGGAAATCAGTTTGGCACGGCATTTGTGACCAGCATACACCTTCCGGTAGTATGAAACAGGTCAAAAACTGTTCAAATCCGCAGATAAAATTTTTGTTTTGAATTTCTGTATAGCAAAATAGTGAACTTTTCGTGAACATTAACGGCAAAGAACTCACCAACACTGGGAGACTGTGAGTTCCTGGCCACCTGTTCATTTTCCATCGTGGTCCGGACCCGAGATGGGAAATGAGAGGTGGGCAGGAACTCACGGTCTTCCAGTGTTGGTGAGTTCTTTGCCGTTAATGTTGACGAAAAGTTCACTATTTTGCTATACAAAAATTCAAAACAAAATTTTTTTTCTGCGGATTTGGACAGTTTTTGACCTGTTTCATACGACCGGAGCTGTATGCTGGTCACAAATGCCGTGCCAAACTGATTTCCTACACAATTAATCAATCTTTGATATGAATTTCGCTAATAAACACGAGGAGCATTTCTTATAGCAAACTTGCCATAACAAAATGAGCATGGTTCATTTTAGTAAACAAACTAACACTTCTTCCGACTGTGTCACCTCTCTTACTCGCCTAGGTCCGGACCCTTCCCAACACCGTTTAGGGGGGTAATTAATTTACACTGCCGTTTCTAGGGTAGGGTGAGGTTACTCCCAAACATGTTCACTCTAGTTCAACTTTTTTTTAAGGAGGTAAATGATTCATACTAGCGAAGGTCTACGATGAGAGTCAATGGATCAATGAAAATGTTGAGGCTTTGACAGAACTATGCTGTGGCTACCCACTCTAAACTATAGCTCTAGTATCAATTAAGTATTTCCAAGTATCTGATAAGTATTCTTAACTATTTTAGGTAATGGATATTTTTAACCGTAGTAACCGGTTACTAATGTAGTTGTTTGTTGTTGTATATCTATTCCGTTACGTTTAATCACGTACTAAAGCATATTAATGCTAGTTCAAGCTGTTTTAAATTAAATTAGTGTAATCATGTTTTTGAGCAAGTATTTTAATTCTACTTCTGAAATAGTTCTTCAAAAAACATGCTTCTTACAGCGAATCAATTAGAGCAGGGACAGCGAATTATTTACGATTTCGAACTGGCTGTGCAGTACGATATAAAATTTTTGAATTCTATTACTTAGCTGGAGGTTAATGGTGCCGTTGTTATCCAGACTCGCAACCAGATTCCAAACTGGCCCTTCTAACCAACCAGTCTGAACTGCCAAAACTTGACGCTGGAACAGATGATCGTTGTCCTGGATGCCCATTCGGTTGATTCGGTTGACCTTCAGGTGGCTGATCCTCCGGAACATCTACCGTTGGTTGTGGATTGATGTTGAACTCGCCAAGTAATATTGTCAACGGCAACGATTCGTCATGTTTTGCTGCAAACGGTTCTCTTTCGTTATAGTTCACTACGGTGTGTCGTGGACGGAGTTGATTGATATGAGATCGGATGAGACCAACTCGCTGTCCATCCAACCAGATATTGTAATTTACTGTTCCAATCTTCTCGATTACCTTTCCTGCTTCCCAGTAGCCGTTTCCAAGTCGACGGGTTTGGAGATTTCCGTCGGCCGCAATAGGTCAAGCGTTGTTCTCATCTGTCTACCGAACATCATTTCACTCGGTGATTTCTGCTCGGTAACTCCGCTTGGCGTTGAGCGGTACGTAGCCAGAAACACTTCTAGTGTCTCCTGGAGGGGTTCTCCCTTGTTGATTTTCTTCATCGCACGCTTCATCGAATCTACAAACCGCTCCGCCTGTCCGTTAGACTGCGGATGGTAGGGAGCGGTGAGCAGGTGTGTGATTCCATTCAATTTGCAGTACGTTTCGAATTCTTCGCAAGTGAATTGTGCAGCGTTGTCCGAAACGATCGTCAATGGCAATCCCAACCGTGCGAAAGTGCTTCGAAGAAACTGTTTTGTTACTTTGGCCGTAGTTGTCTTCGTTGGGTAGATCTCCGGCCATCGTGAAAACGCATCAACAATGATTAGGAACCAAAGTCCATCGATTGGCCCCGCAAAATCGATATGCAGACGCTGCCATGGTCCAGATGGAGTTGGCCATACTTCCGGTGTAGCATGAGCTGGAGACTTAGCTACAGATGCGCATTCCTTACACTGTTTAACGTAGGTTTCGATTTGTCCATCAATGCCAGGCCAAAACACGAAACTCCGAGCTAATGACTTCATTCGAACGATGCCCGGATGTCCATGGTGCAATCGTTGTAGAATCCGCTTTCGGTAAAGTTGAGGAACCACTACACGTTCTCCGAAAAGAATACAGCCTTGAGTAACCATCAGACTTTCCTTCCTATTGTCGAACACCTTCAAATCCGGATCATCTACCTTTGATGGCCAGCCGCACTCGATACACTGGATTACACGCTTCAGCACCTTGTCATGTTTAGTTGCCGTCGCAATCATCCTGGAAGTGACTGGGGTATTGCCGACTGAATCCTCCAGAACTGCTAGAAGATCTTCCTCCAATTGAACCGATGCAATGACAAAGTCTTCTTCCGGTTTCACCGCCGAATTGATGAGCCTTGAAAGTATGTCCACATATCCAAACTTGGTAGTGCTGACGTATTGGACCTTGAAATCATAACACAGCATTGTCAATGCAAAACGTTGCAGCCTATTCGATGTGTGCGTTGGTATTCCCTTATGCGAACCAAATATGCGAAGAAGAGGCTGGTGATCAGTTTCAAGAATGAATGGTCGTCCAAGTAGCATTCTATGAAACTTTGTTACGGCGTAGACTAGTGCCAGAGCTTCCTTGTCGATTTGCCCATAACCACGCTCCGTCGGTGTCAATGACCTCGATGCGTGTTGAATCACCTTTTCTGTGCCATCAGGAAACCGATGTCGAATATTCGCTCCAATGCCCGTGTTGGAGGCATCAGCTGCCACCACAATCTGCAGTTGAGGATTGTAGTGTGTAAGCACCAGGTCCGACTTTAACAGCTCCTTGAATCTCAAAAACGAACGCTTACATTCTTCCGTTCAGTCCCACTGCCTGTCCTTTTGGAGCAGCTGGTCTAAAGGTTTACGCAGTAGGTGCATTTCCTTGATGAACTTCGCATAATAATTCACTGCGCCCAAGAAAGAACGAAGCTCCGTGACATTCCTGGGTGGAGGCATTTGTGAAATTGCCGATACCTTCTCCGGATCTGTTCGAATGCCATCACGATCGATAATATGTCCCAAATACTTCACTTGACTCATGCAAAATTTGCACTTCTCAATCTTGAGCCGAAACCCGTACTCCTGGATCCGTTGAATTGTGTTTTCGAGGTTCTGGTCGTGCTTAGCTCTTGTTTTCCCGAACACAATAACGTCGTCGAGAAAAGATTCAGTTCCTTCCAAATCGCCAATCATGTTGTCGATAACTTTTTGGAAGGCTCCTGGAGCTGATTTTACCCCCGGAGGAAGCCGCTTATATTTGAAGAGTCCTTTGTGGGTATTCACTGTCAGCAACTTCTGGGAATCCTCCTCAACTTCCATCTGTAGATATGCATCTGACAAGTCCAGCACACTAAAGTACTGACTGCCACTCAGCTTTGCGAAAATGTCGTCAGGAGTAGGTAGAGGGAACTTATGTGCTTCCAGCACCGCATTGAGCCCCGTGGAATAATCCGCGCAAATACGCACTATCGGATCTCCGTCTGCGTCACGCTGTGCCTTGCCAACAGCAACAATGGGTGCCGCCCAGTTCGAGAAGTCCACCTGCTCGATGACACCAAGGTTTTGAAGTCGCTGGAGTTCCTTCTCCACCAGTCGTTGTGAATGGAAAGGCACCGGCCTTCTGGGTTTGAATACCGGCTTCACCCCTGGTAGAAGAAATAGCTGAACCTTTGTTTTCGTACAACGTCCGAGCCCATCTTGAAAAACCGCTGGATACTTTGCCTTCAGTGCATTGCAATACACCTCCGAATCTCCTACGGTCGTAACTAGCTTGCAGAACGAATTAATCGGAACGTCATACAGACCAAAAGCATCCATGAGATCGCTTCCGAGAACGTTGAAGCCTTTCACCGATGTCACGTAGCACACCGAACGCTTGGTCAATCCCTTCAGTGTAACCTGGCACTCGAACTCCGAATTCAGTGGTAGTAGCTTGCCTGATGCTGTAGTTACTTTCAGACTCGTGGAACATGTTTCCGGATCACCGAGCTGTGTTAGTGACTCCTCAGAAACAATCGTGTAGTCCGAACCGCAATCGATTTGAAGTTCTATCGGGAAATCGTTGATGCAAATTTCTACGTATTTACGTCTGCCGATGACACCGGCCTTGTTGACTGCATAAATACCCTTCGTGTGGCCAGTTTGCTCATGTTGCTTTTTATTCCTGTACTTCTTCTTCTTCTTACTACCGACTTCCGGTGGTGGTTCCGATAAAGCTGGAGTAGACTTAGCAGACCTTGAGAAGCATCCACAATAGCCTTCCTTATGCCCCACTTTTCCGCAGCTTCGACAGGTGTGAGTTGTATACGAGCAATCTGCAACAAAATGCATCTGCCCGCACTGCCAGCACGGTCGTCGTGGAGACTTAGCAGCATCCTGTTTCTTCTTCTCCGATGACCATTTATTGTTACCTCGCACAGCATCACACACAGCGTACACGGCAGCTTTTGGGTTCTCAAT